GTTAGCTAGCGGTTACACCTACCGGTGAGCAAATACTAACTAGCTACCAGGGAGATATACTAGCTAGCTACCAGGGAGCAGCGCTATACTAGCTATCTACCAGGGAGCGTTAGCTAGCGGTTACACCTACCGGTGAGCAAATACTAACTAGCTACCAGGGAGATATACTAGTTAGCTACCAGGAAGATATACTAACTAGCTAGCAGGGAGCTATACTAGCTAGCTACCAGGGAGATATACTAACTTAAACTAGCTACCAGGGAGATATACTAGCCAGCTACCATAGAGCTATACTAGCTAGCTACCAGGGAGCTATACTAGCTAGCTACCAGGAAGATATACTAACTAGCTACCAGGGAGATATACTAGCTAGCTACCATGGAGCTATACTAAGGAGCTCTACTATACTCGGGATAGCGATATATATAGCAGTTAGAACGGGTCCCTCCCCCCCCTCCCCGTGGCTCGCCACTCACTTGCCATCCTTGTGATCGGCGGCGGTGGCGGATCGGAGGCGGTTGTCGTGCGGGGGCCGCGCGACCGCGCTGAAGCGCGTCTCCTCGTCTCCGCCGTCGGAGATCTCGAGCGACACGTGATGCTTGTACATCGGACTGCTCTCGATCTCGGCGGCAATGCGCTGCGCCTCGGCCTCCCGCTGCAGGTACTCCTTAGTGTCCTTCTTCTCCAGTTGAACCCTGCGCAGGAGAGAGAGAGAGAGAGGAGTGTGTTAGTGTGTGGGAAGAGGGGGGCAGAGGGAGAGGGGTGTTAGAGTGTGGGAAGAGGGGGAGAGAGGTGTTAGCATGCGGGGAGAACTGCTGCTGCTGCTGCTGCTGCTGCTGCTGCTGCTGCTGCTGCTGCTGCTGCTACTGCTACTGCTACTGCTACTGCTACTGCTACAACTACTGCTGCTACTGCTGCACTACTGCTATTGCTGCTGCTGCTGCTGCTACTGCTACTGCTACTACTGCTGCTACTGCTACTACTACTGCTGCTGCTACTGTTGTTGCTGCTGCTGCTACTGTTGTTGCTGCTGCTGCTGCTGTTGCTGCTGTTGCTGCTACAGCTACATAATACACTAAAGTGCAAGTCATCTACGGATTATTTACTTAACCAGTGCATTTCCTACACGAGACATAAGACTCAACCAATACTACATTCTGAACACAAGCCTGTGACTAGAGAAGCAAATTATTGCAAGTTATTTGCCAAACTCGGGCTATTGAAAATTCGCCAATCGTGCTCTCTGTTTGGGTGATTTTGCACCCGAAATGCTAGAACCTTGACGACATAACACACAACAATATAACATGTAACACTGTCACAACAGAACATAACATAATGTAACAACATAATATATATTTTAACATAACATAACATAAAACATAAAATAACACAACATGACATAAAATAACATGACACAACACAACACAACATAACAATAACATAACATCACCCTACGGTGTTCACGCGCTCCTGACGACATCCAGTACGACACGTAACAACGCGACGCCCTCACACGCGCCGCCGCCGCCGCAGCCGCCGCCGCGTACCTTTCGTTGCGTAGTCGAGATCTACGTTGGAGGCGGTGATCATGACGATGTCGGAGACGATAATCACCAGCTTCTCGGTGATGCAATCGCGCGTCGGCACCTTCCCAGACTCCTCCACCTTGTGCGCCAGCTCCAGAACAATCTCAAACTGCCAGCGAGACGAGCGCAGAGCGAGCAATTAGCGTAGGGCACCCACAGTTTTAACGCATGTCCAACGTCTGACATGCCTTCAAAGTTAATTTGTGACATCCCATAAACCCTCCGACGTGGTTTACTGCCTAATTAACATGCTTAAACTGTCGAGTAATGTTAACATGATATCAAGAGCGTATAAAGAAGGAGAGCGTACCACGGTGAAATGCTGAAACCATGTTGCAGTATTAGTCGAATTAATAAACTTTGCCCATTTTATTTTGACGATTCTTTGTGGTATTAGTGATCAGCTGTCCTACCTTGCTAATATAAAACAAACCGCTTGTCCCTACGATGCGTCTACGCTGAGATAATGATCGGTGAAAATCTGGTATTTTCGCAGAAAACCGACTCGAGATCAGTGTTTACTGCAACTGTCTCTCGTTCTGGCGATAGCTTCGGAAAACCTCGCGTGTTTCCGTCATTCATTGACAATAAACTTTCTTTTCCTTCTACTATCTTTTCTCGCATTTCCAGTCATTGACGCAGCTATTACTCCACAAAAACGTCTTGTTATTTATCGCCATGTGATGACCCTCCCCTTACGCTTGATGTAGTAATGCTGTAGTAATAACGTATCGAGTCAGCGCTACACAGCGGTGACCGGAAGCAACATACAGTCCTCAAAACGAGAGACAGTTGCAGTAAACACTGATCTCGAGATGGTTTTCGGCGAAAATACCAGATTTTCACCGCTCATTATCTCAGCGTAGAGGCATCGTAGGGACATGCGGTTTGTTTTATATTAACAAGGTAAGACAGTTGATCAATAATACTGCAAAGAATCGTCAAAATAAAACGGGGAAAGTTTATTAATTCGACTAATACTGCAACATGGTTTCAGCATTTCACCGTTATATGCTCTCCTTCTTAATACGCTCTTGATGATATCGTGGTAACACGGTAAGGCAAGTCTTGAATTGTATACTCTGCCCTTCAAGTGAAAGTAGAAGTGAGAGAAAGGGATTGGCAAAGGATAGGAAAAGGATAGCAACATGCGACACTGAAACCAGTCTAAGAGACTCAACGCCGAAGACGAATTCTACACGAGAACAACAATTGTTCTACTTTCAGGGTTAAAAATGAAAGGCAGCAAGCAACAGTTTAGCTGCCTACAAAGGTCAGTTTGCTGCCTGCTCTTAACGCACTGCATGCTTCGTCTGCCATGATATTCATAACAAACCAAATTAAAAGCACTAAAGATTCTACCCAAGTAAGTAAATTGGCTGCCTGCCTCTTTCTCTGGCAGCAAGTACTTGCTGCCTGGCAAAAAAAGTTAGTTTCTAACCATGTACCTTGTTTGAAAACGTCTTGAAGATGCCGTCGTAGACTGTGCCATTCTTCACTTGCACTTGAACGACTAGTCCCTGCAGAAACACGGAGAGAATCAGAGATTAAAACAAACACAGCACTATTTCTACAACGGACGAGAAGTTAATCCTCTCAATTATTGTGGGAAGAGATGATTAGTTTTCTGATAAAATTAATATATATGACATGTATATATATGCCTTTCCCCCCACATTTCATGACTATACATTTTCTCTTCAACTACAGGAGTACATGAACGTCTCTATTATGACAATGAATGATATTAATCATATTACCACCTATTTTTACACTGAAGGATGAGACTGTCTTTCTCTGTATAAAACCATTTAATTTCTTGCTATTTCTCAGCCAGAGCAAGTTAGGCACAGTGGGAAATACAATGCACGAATCTCTACATGCATATTGATCTCTACATATTGAAGTCTACATCTCCACAAGGCACCTTCTTCTACTATTTCTTAATTGCACAATGTAGCAGAGCGTTCCCTGTGTAATCAGCTGCACCACACATCTGATTATAAATGTTGCCCCCCCCCGCCCCAGGCAAAGAAGTACTGGCACATCTGTTCGGTTACATGGTAACATGGCCGGCATCTGCACTTTCTCACTGAGCTGCCACGATGATGACCCAGTGCACTAACAACTCGCGTTAATCCAGGGGGAGGGGCAACCAGATTATTTTACCCAGAAAGATGGACGCGGTGGAGAATGCATGCTACCAGCGCTTCCCGACACAATGGGCAGAACAGCTACACCAACCACCGCACACCCTCGGCAATCAATAAAGCCGGCATGCCATCCCGTTTACGCGCTTAATCTTGCGCGACTTGCCACCAGCTATCGCTGCAAAAACTACAGAGGGGCTCATGTCACCTGTCACTATCACCTGTTTTAGCCACCTGTGATGCCATACACCCATAGCAGACAAGTAGCCCCCCCCACCACAATTTGGGTTTCATTGTTTTCACAGCAAGAGGAGACGTTCCGGCATGAACATCGACACCATTTGCTATGCACTCTGCCATTACGTTTTGATTTGAACTTCGTAAAGTGAATGAACACTAGCATGCACTCTAACGCGAGGAACGGTGATGGTGCACGAATGCAAGTACACATCAAACGAGTAAAATCAATCAAAGCACATTAAAGCGAGAAGCAGGCGAACACTAGCCGAAAATTGACGGCCGTGGTTACTGTGATCTTCCTGTCGGCTCGTCAGATCATGAAGCTTACAGTCACTGCTTCTGTGCATGGCGAAACCGATAGCTTAATTTCGCGCTACGCCACAGCCGCCATAGATGGAATAGCAGGGTGCAAAATTAGCGCGAGTCCGGAGTCAAATACTCCCTGATTTACTGTCGGACTCCCTGATTTGACATGTGTAGGAGCCTGTGTGACTCTCTGAAAATTCTGCTATACTAACTAGTTCATTCCAGAGCCTCGCGGAATTACAGTTTTTTTTCCAGCAAATGTCCAAAGAAAATTTGGAACCCAACCGCATGAATCTTCAAAATAAGCCCATGCATTATTGTTAATATCTTTAGTTTTTGAACTTCAGACTGCGGACTCCCTCATTTTGGTGCGGACTCCATCTTTTTGAGGGTAGGGAGTCCGTTGAACTCCCGTGTTCAAAAGTTAATTTCTACCCCTGGAATAGTTAGTGGATTACTCGTCTACCCGTGTCAGCCTGACCAACTAAAATCCTGGCTTGCCGAATAATATTAAACAATTACTTTTGTTTAACTAAGTAAAGATATATGAAAATCTGTGTAAAGATGTGGAAAAATCTGGGTCAACAGTTTGCACATAACATGCGTGAATGTATATAGCTGATTATCAAGGCCTGGCAGCATGCCTTCTCCTACGTGCCAACAACGCAGGTTACCCGATGGTTAAAACACAAAAGTCGGTGACCTGCCGAACTAGTTTTCACTCCGACTCCGAGAGCTAGCTTGCTAGGCTGTGTTCCTGGCTGGGGGGGGGGGTGCCAGTGACCTTACCAATCTCAGGGGATCGACACACGCGCGTACGCACACACGCAGCGTAGCTGATGGCATCAATGCAAACACAGCTCAGCGCATCTGTGCGTGTGTACGTGCCATCCCTTTCACCCCTCACCCAACCTCCTGAGAGGGTCTCCACTTGCCCAACCCCCGAGTTATAGTTGCGAAGCAGAGCTGTGCAGGAGAGCACCCTAACAGCAGAACATTTGCACTCCGCGTGCCCGATTCACGATATTTCGCTGGGCTCGTGTGAAGCCAATGAAACCAGCACGGTTCGTGTGTTCCTAGTGCTCCCCTTACGAGATGCTGCCGGGGGTGTTCGCCTCTCTATTAGCAATGCTACGAGTACAGGTCTCTCTCGCTCCCCGTATCCGGACTGTGATACGCATCCAGCCGCCAGCTGTCTAGCGGCCGGTCGGCAAATATAGGTTTCTATCTAAAGTGCCCGAATTACCATGTGGAACATACGGCCACTACATTTACATCTCGTCAAATTGTGCAGCCTACGCAGAATATGCTAGAATCTCGGTTTGCTTTCTGTTGATAAGGTTATGTGCAACTGTGCGATATCTGTAGGGTAGGAACCATGCTAGCGAGTCTGGCCAAACCTGTACAACTTTTTAGATATATATCTAACTGACACTACTTGTGATACGTCATGCCAAGCATGCTGACGGATACAAAAATTATGTGTTTATGTGTATACATTATGCAAAAAAATAAGGCAAAATATTTGTATAAATTCACACAAATATCAACTCGTTACCATTAGTTTTCTTCAATAAGGCACTAGAATCGGTGTGACTTTAAACTGCTGCATAAGACACAAGTGTTTAAATGTCACTACTTACAACGAGTGAGGAAGCGGTGTGCATCATTCGTGAGTTGCCATACACTCCCTCTGTCTGCAAAATTAAAAAGTGACTCATGTTACGTAACAGTGCAAATGAAAAGTGATTAGAGACTGCCACCATGCAGTCGTCCATTCCTTTGCTGAACCCACTTTCAATGTGCACAGGCAATACGTGGAGACCTCAAACGAGAGATAACAATAATGTAAGCAAACATGAAAGTAGAGTTCAGGGCCCGAAATTCAGATTTTTTTGCACCGGCCCTGAGGGCTGGTATAACAGCAATTTCTTAACAGCCCTCACCATAATTTACCAGCCCTCATAAATTTTGTTTGTAAAATTAATGTCATGTTTCACGCTTGCATTTCGATTTCAAATTTGTAAAATGTTGATAAATTATGGCGTGATATCCTTCAGGTAAAACAGCAATGTAGGCTATTTGCTCATTAATGCTATAATAAAAATAAACATGTAGGTACTCGCCAACATGGCTGAAACCACGGGCTCTGAGGGCCAGTGTTTTGGGAATGTTACTGGCCCTCCAAAAAATTTGCCAGCGTATGCCGGTGGGTGGGTGCTAATTTCGCGCCCTGAGAGTGAGAGTTGCCTACTAGATCGTGTTAGATTACATTATTGTCTACACCAACCCGCCAATGAAATTCCAAATTCCCACTCCCTGTTCCACTAGTTAGGTAACCACTCCTGCACATTCCCCATATCTCTGCTCGGTCTGCCTCACCTCACCCCAGCCGCCTCACTAACCTCATCACCCCCACCCACCTCACACCATGAGAGCCCTCCCAGCTGTGCACTCCACCCACCCCCACTATCCTCCTCCACATGGTTTACGCCCCCAACCTGTGTCGATGTCCCTCCCCCACCACTCCCACCAGCCTCATTTTGCCAGCTTGGCCTGCATTCATAGTTCACAAGCTTACTGTACAAAGTGTACCCCGGGCAGCCGATTAACCGCACAGCGTGAATGCGCACCATTAAAAACAGCTATCTAAACGTTTGATATACATTTTCTCTACCAGCAGGAATCTGTTTCAATTTATTCTGTGCAGAGTTCTATGCGTGCAGATGTCAGTCAAAACGTTATGTCATCACAGGCACAGAAAACATGCCCAACGAAAAAAAAACACATTTAATAATACATACGTAATCGGTAAAGCTCACTAAATTGTGGTTTCATTTACCAAACCGATAGAAACAATCCTGGCTGCGTATATGTGGACGGGGATTTCCTTTCTGATGTGCCTACTTGATAATTGGCAGCAATTACGTTCATGTGCTAACATCGATTTTAGATTTAATGAAACATTTTTTTAAATTTTTTTTTAGATTTTAGAATTTTTTAAAGCGCTTCCTCTAGTGAGTTCCTGTTCAGTGTGTATCATCACACGCTATAATGTGCCCAGAGGGAACACACGACACACACATCCAGTTTGTATCTACGCCTGTAACCTAGTCTGTAACAGAATCTACTCTACCCGTTACTGTTTGACAGTGTAAGGAAGGCCGACTCTAAAGTCTAATGTATTTGGTCACGGTCGTATCCGCCTTCAGCTAGACAGACTGACTGTTCACTCACTAACTGAGCCTATACGTTATACGAGACGCGGCTCCGTTACGTACAGTACGCGCTGCTTGGCTGCACGTGTACTCGCCTTGGCTGCGTTGAGAATGCCCTCAACACCCGCACGAACGCACCTATCTTAATGCACTACAGTGTGCACATATGAGAGTAACGCGAGTAACATATACATGCACAGTAATGCCCCCCACCCCCAAACGAAAAATGTTTAAAAGTGGGCACAAGAGCAGTTTCCACAAAACACTACAGTGAGGAGTTTAGTTGGACATGACCGTGCGTTGGTGAAATTCCAAATCAGTGCGGTTACGAACATTTCCGTGCCTTTGGGACTGTCACTGTCAGCTTTATTTTAATCCATGCTAGAACCAAATAGGTTCACATTATTTTCAAGCCAACGGTCCTATATCGTTTTAATAGTAACAACTTTAATATAGGGTAGGCCTCTTGCTGACATATTCGACACAGTTTCACACACGAGTCCATAGAGACAGTCGTTGTCAATTCCCGGCTTACAATATGCCCTAGATCTAAATAATGGCTTTCACGAACGGTTTGGATATTAAATTACAAAAAATGTGCAGAAACGTGGGCTAGAGTTGCTGCTCTATTTCATATTATTTACACAGGAGCTGATTTTAATTAGACATCTGGCATCTGATTGCTATTCACAGCTACCTACAGCAGCAGTATATCTGTCAAACAATAAATATCCAAACAAAAAGCAAATACAGCATTGAACTAAGGCCAGCTGGCTGCCAATAAGTGAACGGTGAACAAGCTGCATAACAAGAGAGTTTAGATTTGTTAGAATTGTGTGTATTACAGACCACCACCATACAGTAGCCTTACATTTTACACAGACACACACTCATATTTAAACATAGCTATTATTGTTCACGTCTGTGTGTGTGCGTACTTGCATGCAAACAATTATAGCTAAGAATATATATATAAGTCTGGATGCTTGAGTCTATACTGCCGGTAGAGTGCTCGATGCATTAAGTTGCAGAGCGTAATAAATTGTAGTCTGTAGATAAATTAAAGACAAGAAGACATCACTTTTAGCTGTTACTCCGAGTTTCACGCTTATGCGATCATCAGACAGACTTTAATGAAGAATAAACCTTATAAGTTATACACATACTATCATCATCATCATCATCATCATAATCATCATCATCATCATCATCTTCGTTTATAGTCCATCTTTTCCCGTGCCTGGGGTTGGACTTGCGATGATACTCCTCCACCGTTCTCTGTCCTGCGTTGATCCTTCATCTATATTCAAGTCCTTCAGATCTTTCTGCACTGTCCCTATCCATGTTCTCTTTGGTCTTCCAACCGGTCTTTTTCCAGGGATCTCTAATTCTTCCACAAACCTCAGTACTCCTCCTTCCGTCTCCCTTCTAACATGCCCAAACCATTGTAGTCTCCTCTGTCTAGTTCTATTCTGTATCTCTCTTAAACCACATCTCTTTGCCACTTCTTCACTGGATATCCTATCCTGCCATTTAACTCCAGCTATGTATCTTAGCATCTTTCTATCACATCTTCTCAATACATCTTCAACTCTTTCTGTAATAGCCCAAACTTCCACCCCATATAACAAAACTGATCTTATACAAGCTTCATAGACATTGCCTCTGATCTTTAACGGAATACTTCTGTTTACTAACAAACTAGCCATCTCTCTCCATTTCTTCCATGCAGCCGCTACTCTAACTCTCACAGTTCTCTCTGTACCCACCTCACAGTCCACCATATCAACCAGATAGCAAAACTCATGAACTTCCTCTATGTTTTCTCCCGTAGTCCTCAGTCCTCTTTCACCTTCCTCCCTAACATACCCTGTTCTGCAAGCCGGGCACTGAAAGTTCTGGATTCCCTTTACACTTTTCAGGCCTGTGCATCTTTGGTGACACCATTTGTTACACTCTATGCATAAAACTGAATTTACTCCCACTCCTCTCCCACAGCATCCACATGGCCATCTTCCTGACTGCACATGGTGCTCAGAGCCCTTTCCTGTGACCATCATCTTTGTTTTCTCCAAGTTTACTTTCATTCCTCGTCTTTCTAACCCCTCTCTCCAACTCTCAAAGGCTTCCAGTGCTTCCTGTTCAGATTCTGCCGTCAATACCAGGTCATCTGCATACGCTAACTCCCATGGAACCCCTTTTCTGTTTTCTCTAGTTGCCTCATCCACTACTATGATGAACAGTAAGGGACTTAATACCGAGCCTTGATGTACCCCTACTCCAATGTCAAACTCCTCTGACGTCCCTGCTGTCGTTCTAACCCTTGATCTGGTTCCCACATACAGTGACATAATCGCTGTTATCATCCTTTCAGGTACTTTTTTCCTTCTTAAGGCCCACCTTATCACTTCTCTTGGTACTCGGATCAAATGCCTTCTCCAAATCCACGAAAATGTAGTACAGCTTCTTTTTCTTCTGGTTATATTTCTCTTGCAGTTGTCTCAAAACAAATATTGCCCCTGTAGTGGACCTACCTGGCCAAAACCCGAACTGAAAACTACCGATGTCTACTTCCTTTCTAAGTCTCTTCTCTAAAACTCTAGCGTATATTTTCATTGCATGTTCTAATAACCTCTCTCCTCTGTGTTTGCCGCATACCATAGCATCTCCTTTGCCTTTATATATAGGTATTGTAGAACTATTTTTCCAATCTTCTGGTATTCCGTTCCCTCCTATCAGTTCCTTCACGATGCTTCCCAGTTCTCTTATTCCTTCCCTACCTGCCGCCTTTACCAGGTCACTTGTCACCCCTGTTGGCCCTGCCGCCTTCCCACTACTCATTTCTCTCAAAGCTACTTCCAGTGCATGCTCTGTAACGTCCTCCAATGGTCCCTCAACCATTTCTGTTTCTTCCACCTGATATTCGTTGCTTCATTTAGTTTGTCTTTTCACTGAAGTACTCCCGCCATCTGTCCATGATTTCCTTTTCTTCCACTTTTATATCTCCTCTGCTATCTTTTATATATTTTCCTCTTGTGACATCCTGTCTCTCCCTTTTCATCTGCTTTGCTATTCTGAATAGATCTGATTTCTGTTTTGTTTTCCTGAAATTTCCATCCATTCTTCCCATACTAATCTTTTTGCAATTGCTACCTCTCTTTTTGCATTCCTTTTCTTCTGCTTGTACACTTCTCTGTCAACTTCTTCTCCACTTCTTTGCCATACCTTGTAAGCTTCTTTCTTTTCTCTTATTGCTTTTTGCAACTTTCATTCCACTACCAAGTTTCTCTTCTATGTCTATAGTTCCCTGTTGTCTCCCCACATACTTCTCTACCAGCCTTCATGATACTATCTCTAAATTTCTCCCATCCTCCTCTGCTACTCTTCATTCTCCTTCTCACATTCTCTTCAAAGTCTCTCCTGTGTGTTTCCTCCTTTAGTTTCCATTGTTTTATCTTCTTTTCACCTTTTTTCTTTTTAATTCTCTTGAATCCTGCTATCTTGAGATCGCTACACATAAGCCTATGTTGTGTTAAACATGCTTCTCCCGGGATTACCTTACAGTCCTTTAATATAATCTTCTCATTTCTCCTTACCAAGATGTAGTCGATCTGTGTTTCTGCCCCTCCACTCTTGTATGTGATTTTCTTCTCCCTCTCCTTTTTGAACAAAGTATTAAGTATCATCATTTTTCTGCTCTGACAAAATTCTAATATGCTTTCACCATCTGCATTTTTCTCCCTACATCCATATATTCCCATGACATCTTCAAAACCTCTCCTGTTCATCCCCACATGACCATTGAAGTCCCCACCAATTATCAACAAATTTTCTTCTGGTATTCTACCAATGGTGTCATCCAGTTTTCCCCAGAATTCTTCTTTTTCCTCTCATGGTCTCCCATCCTGTGGTGCATAGACTGACAGAACTTGAAGTACTTTTCTTCCTATTAAATCCTTCCTTGTCTTCCTTTATTTTCAGTATCTTATATACATACTATAACCTATATATATATATATACATGAATGGCGCTATTGTTATGTAGTTCTATAGCTCTATAGTTCTATAGTTAAATTAGTCTATTGTTCTGCTGGTCTATTGTTGTTCGGCTTTTGACTTTTTTTGTTTGTTTCTAATCTTAATGCCGCCATTTATATCTGATCCAATCTATAAAAACAAAACAGATCAGATCAGATATAAATGGTGGCAATAAGATTAGAAACAAACAAAAAAAGTCAAAAGCCGAACAACAATAGACCAGCAGAACAATAGACCGATTTAACTATAGAACTATAGATCTACTAGCTCTGGTAACTATGCGGCAATCGTACGCAGGCTATAGTTACTAGAGCTATAGAACTACATAAAAATAGATAACTAAAACAATAGCGCCATTCATGTATATATAGGTTATAGTATGTATTTAAGTTTATTCTATTAAAGGCTCTGCTGATGTATCGCTTTAAGCGCTGAAAACTCGGAGTAACAGCTAAAAGTGGATGTCTTGTCCTTAATTTATCTACAGACTACAATTTATATATATTAATATTATAATATATATAATATATATACATACATGCATACACCGACAGTTAATGTGGAGGAGTGTCCCGGGGGAAATTATAATTATTCAGTGTATGCACACATGCAAACCGTGTTCAAAATATATCTTCCATTTAATTTACGATTAACCGCACCCACATTACATTGCTGGTGCATTTCTTACACTAACAGAAAAACAGTCTGAAATAACAAGAGGAACGAAATTTTTCTCTACCACATTATTCTGCAACACTATCAAATGTACGTTGGTTGCCTTCATTGTCTCAAAATTAAACAAGCATCAACCTTAGTTACTGCTACACCGATCCTAAGATGCTAAATATCAAGTATGCAGACGTATAGCACGGCTCAAATTTCACCAGGGCACCTAAGTCAAGGCTCCCCTCCATACTTTGCTGCTAAAAAAATTGGTCACGGGCCCCCAACTTGCCAGGGTGCCCGAACATTTCTGATTAAACGAAACACAACATTTGCCATAGAAAAAATTCGAACCACGCTATTATATAGCACTTGATACGGTGGCTTCCACATCCTACAATGACTTGGTTCATAAACTCATGATCCATGAAATGCTGGCTCCCACATTCCTTAAAGTTCATATACATTTCCTCTATGGTTCACACCATGCTAGATTGGCACTGTCTCACAGAGTTCAGGTATGCAGTTCTAATTAGGGACACACAAGTTTTATTTGATACAGATTCAACAAAGATCTATTGGACACCAGCATTCCTACTCATTATTCATGAACGGAAATACCACGTGGTAGCTCTTATCCGTGGAACCAAGAGATAATATCCTGATTAATAGCAAGCTTCCAGCAATGAGGGGAGACTGATGCGAGATATCACATTAGATGCAGTGCGCTGTTTAGTCCTTATCAAAGAAATCGTGCAATGCAATCAAATAGATTTTTTGACTAGGACCCAGATGTATTGCAGCATTAAAACAGTGCACGATTCTGCAAGAAGAGTGAAAAAGCTGCAACATACTGCCAATGCAGGTACTAGAATAGGTTGTAGAACTAACACTGATAAGAAACTTACCGCTATATTTTTTTCATAAGATGGCTTCATCCGGTTACCGCCCCTATGAAAAAGTTTAATTAAAGATTAAAACAAGGTACAAAAATGTCAACTTACCCCATCCCTTATCGTTCCAAAAATATATTAAAAAGCATAAATAATACCCCTAGAAGGACAATATAGTCTGTATGCACATTGCATTGAGATATTGGGACCGAGTCTAAAAAATAATTAATACTCAAAGATTTTCATATTTATCAGCAGTTTTCCATAATATATACTAAATTGAAACTAAATCCTATGCTTGCAGTAAATGACCATTTTCGATTGAATTTCAATAATAATATAACGTTTTTGAAATGCAAAGAAATTTAAAGCACAGCAAAACGGCACACAGGTGGCTGTCCTCCTAGGTCTTATGGCATAGGTATTGAGGCAGACATGAACTGCATGGGGGTTTATTTTGACTAGTGACAAGCGTTATATTAAACAAGCTGGGTAGATCTTTGAACTATCTTTACTGGATGGTACGCATAGCCACACACTCCCCATCAGTTCATGTTAGATGCCATCGGATCCCACCCCCTACGGACACAGACACATACACCTGAGCGCATCACCAAGATACTGCATGTCTGGGAAATGGAAGTGTACTTGAAAAACGCCGTTAAATCACGCCCCTGCACCTAGAGTTAGAGAACTCCATGAACACTATTCCTAGATGCATGGATTGCCCAGTAGAAAAATTCAGTGACAGGCCAGCACAATCGACTCGTAAGTTCCTAACAAACAGTAACACTACAGGAATAAACATTACCATGTCAGGGTGCGAAATTAACGGGAGTCGGGAGTCAAATACTCCCTGATTTGACATATGCAGGAGTCCGTGTGACTCCCTGAAAATTCTGCCATACTAACTAGTTCGTTCCAGAGCACGGCCTTGTGGAATTACCGTATTCTTTCAGCTAATGTCCAAAGAAAATTTGGCAGACGTGCAACCGCATGAATCTTAAAAATAAGCACGTGTTATTGTTAATAGGTCCCTACCTCTAATTTTGAACCTCAGACTGCGGACTCCCTCATTTCGCTGTGCGGACTCCCTCTTTTTGAGGGTAGGGAGTCCGTTGGACTCCCTTGTTAAAAAGTTAATTTCTACCCCTGCCATGTTATAACGCCGGCCATGGAGTCAATTGGATTGAATTAAACACGAAAATACATTCCGGTAGCCACTACTAGGCAATAGTACTACATAAGAAAGCCAAACACTTGTCCACACATCTCTTGGTAATGAGTAACAGTAACTGAAATACGAATGTATTATATTCTGCAGACGGAATGCAATTTTTCATAAGATTCACTCAATCTGACAATCACACACGTACTCGGTACTGTAGGCCTATGCATCATGCCTTAAAATACGGAGTTACGTCACTATGTCAGTATGTGACCCGGTCAAGCATCGCTTTCCAAATGAAATCCTTCGCTGTCATTGGGTTTACAACTTCCGTTCCCGCGCGCGTGCCAGTATCAATGCAACCGCTTTTCCTCTAAATAATATTTGCCGAATCCAAGCTATATTTTAGAACTCACCTCCCAATGTTCGTGCGTGGGCCTTTCCGCTGCTTGCTGTTACTGTTCATCATGGCGACCAACTCACGATTTCTACGATTCAATCTACAATCACTACACTATAGACGTATTAGCCTAACTTCGAGGGTATCAAGTTAACAACCAGTTAAACCGGTGTCCAGACACCACATCAATGTTACATCAGAAATACCAGTAAAATCAATACATAAAATACACTAGAATATAAAAGTTTGTGGAGAGATGTTTTTCATCAAAACTCCAGTTTTCTGAGGCGTACGAATACCTGAACGCCGATCTTCTGATGATGTCATCGACCGGGTTCTCACTGCAAATACAGCTTATTAATGCTAGTTGCATTAATTAATTTAGTCTTATAAAATGTTTGTGCATATATACATGCTTATATTTGTATGTTATTGTGCTGCAACATTTTAATTATCACACTTGGTGTTACACAAAATAGTTCCAATATACCAGGCATTTGTGATGTGGCCCGCGGGAAGCGAACAGCGCCATCGCCCGTCTTAGTTAGTAAGCATTGATCATCGTCAGCGTCACTGAACCGCCTTGTAAAATAACAAACCAATAAATTCTCCCCGCGTAATATGGTAGCTAGTTATGATGATCACCAAAGATGTAATTAAAAATGTTTACAGAATTAGACAGAAAGAGAAAAAGAAGGAAAAGAGAGAGAGAGAGAGAGAGAGAGAGAGAGAGAGAGAGAGAGAGAGAGAGAGAGAGAGAGAGAGAGAGAGAGAGAGAGAGAGAGATCGAGAGAGATGCAAGCTGACTCGCCTGACTCGCCACCTTATAATATCAGGAAACTAAACGAGTTAGAGATCATAGTTCTATAACTTCTATTTAATGCACTCCTGATAAAATTAGAAGCAGGACAGCAATAACATTATTGCGTACAAGTGGCACCTGCATAAGTTATGGAGAGTAAAGTAAAACTTCATAAATAATTAATATAATTGATATGTATCGTAATAAATCGTATGTGAGGTAAATCAGCCCTTCATCCTGCTTGTTTTTTTTTCATAAATTTAGGCCGGGCGACTGTAAATATTGTTTATAGATCGTTCCCCGACGATTTACTGATTTTTTTGCGCGACGGTGGGGCGGGGTGCTGTACTCCTTCCGCTGTTCCTTTCTGGCGCTTAATTGGTTCCATATAAGTAGTGTATAAGAAGACGAGCATGTGTTATATGTTTATGCAGTATAAGTTAATCATAATAATAATATAATAACATAATAATAACAAAGATATCTTGTAAGACAAAGGGTTGTGCCAATTAAATGACTCTACAGAGAATAGACATGTCGAGTCTACATTAAATTTCTTTCATGATAAATAATGACACACGGAAATATGCAAATGATCAAGTAGGCAGATTGGTGGTGTCAAGGTGGTGTCTATATCCAAGCCGGTACGGGAGATTACGGTACGCATATATTTGCTAATATATTGACTAATCGTGCGTCAATAAACTCAATATTCACAGAGAGTATAGCCAAGGCATGTGTCTATAGGTCTCTAAAATGTTAGAAATTTAATCATCTGTAATTCACTTCCGCGCGCATATATTTGCTAATATATTGACTAATCGTGCGTCAATAAACTCAATATTTACAGAGAGTATGGGGGTGTCTATATTCAAGCCGGTACGGGAGATTACGGTACGCATATATTTGCTAATATATTGACTAATCGTGCGTCAATAAACTCAATATTTACAGAGAGTATGGGGGTGTCTATATTCAAGCCGGTACGGGAGATTACGGTACGCATATATTTGCTAATATATTGACTAATCGTGCGTCAATAAACTCAATATTTACAT